GGTGCCTGTAGTCCCAGCTATTTGGGAGGCTGAGGCAGGAGACTCGCTTGAGCCCAGGAGTTGGTTGCTGTGAGCTGTGATGCCATGGCACTCTACCCAGGGCGACAGCTTGAGGCTCTGTCTCAGTAAAGAAAGAAAGAAAAGGAAAGAAAGAGAGGGAGGGAGGGAGGAAAGAGAAAGAAAGAACTACAAAAAAGACTTACATCCTGCTCCCTGTTTACATTAGCTCACGTGGTAGACGATCATAGATGATCAAAATAATCACAGCAAAGTTCTAATTAAATTCCTTATAACAGCATAACCCCTTATTAACTCCTTTAGATTAGGATATAAAACAACTGGCACCTAGGGTGGCTTGCAGCTGTCATCCTAGCAACCAGCAAGGCAGAGGTGAGAGGAGTGCTTGAGGTCAAGAGTTCAAGACCAGCCTGGACAATGTAGTGAGACCCTTATCTCTAAAATAGATTTTTAAAAAAACAGCCAGGCATGGTGGCGTACGCCTGCAGTCCCACCTACTCAGGAGGCTGAGAGAGGAGGATCACGTGAACCCAGGAGTTTGAGGCTACTGTGAGGTACAGTCATGCTACTACTGTACTCCAGCATAGGCAACAGAGCCAGACCCCATTTCTCTTTCTTTTTTATAAAGTCAGTTGACAATTAAATTCCTTCTTCCAGCCAACATTCTCAAATGTGAGTAGGCCAAACTGTTCTGTTTTACCAGCAGAGGGAGAAATGATTAAGAAGTGACTGCCTTGTGATCATTTGATACTTTCTTAATTATTGTGTGATATATACTTTGATTATAATAATTGGTCTATTTCTTGAATGCCTAATAAATGAAACTTTACTTTTCTTTTTTCACATGTATTTTTATTCTCCTGAATGACTTTTTATATAAGCCTGGGGGTTTTGTTGGTGGTGGTGTTGTTGTTCAATTCTTAAAAATATTTAAAATTTTCTGTTTGTCTAAAACCCATAAATAGTTATTTTTAACAATCTTAGTTCTAGGCACAGACAGGGTGGAGCGGATGACCAAAACTTACAATGATATCGACATGGTTACACATCTCCTGGCAGAGGTAGGAAAATATGTTTTTTTTTCTCCAGTACAAAAATCTTAAGCTTGTGGATCATTTGGAATCTATTAAATTTGCATATGAAATGAAAAAGGATGATGTCTGTGTTCTGGTTTATTTTTTATAAGGTTGTTAACTACTGGAACAGGTGGAATTCGAAAGTAGAATGGTTCCTGAAGTTAATTATTGTGAAGTCATAGAGGATCGATGGACAGATGGATTTAAATGGTGCTAGCTGGCCTTCCTATCTAAGAAAAGCATTAATTTTTTTAAAAAAAATCATTTTTGGCTTGGCGCCTATAGCTCAAGCAGCTAAGGCACCAGCCACATACACCAGAGCTGGTAGGTTTGAATCCAGCCCGGGCCTGCCAAACAACAATGACAACTACAACCAAAAAATAGCCAGGTATTGTGGTGGGTACCTGTAGTCCCAGCTACTTGGG